TGCCTCTGGGTGGGGCAGGCTGCCGATCATCTCCGGGCATCCATTCCTATGATCAAACCTTGAGGTGGTTTTAACTATAGTAGTTCTATGCTGTGTTTGATGTCTGATCAGGTAAGCCTTACTACGCTTTTTATTGATTTTCCCCATAAGCTCTAAGCAGAGTTCATTCAGTCCCCAACATCCCTGTCTACATGAAGAACTCTGGACGTTTCAATTAAAGTTGCGTTATGTTGATAAACTGAATATCGTCAGTTTCCATTGGCCCTTCTCCTGCAACACAAATGCCATTTATCCAGTTATAAAGACCTTTCTGCATATTCTTCTATGCACTTTTATGCTTTTCCAGATTTTATACTTTGCTATAAAAGGGAGAAGCTATTTATTCATAAATATGTTCATTTACATCCAACAAAATTATATTCAACTTACCAACTAATCATATTGGACTTTTATTTACTAAATTCTTTTGGACTTTCATATCATTAGAAAACAATTTTATCTTCTGCCTTTAAATTTTATGTATAAGTAATATAATTTTCTCGTTTCCATTCCTCTAACCTGTAGTGAATATTGAATAATAATAATGGCATGGCTAACTTAGTGTCCAATTATTTAAGCACTTAATTGTTTGAGAATACTTACATCATTTTATTGGAATAGATTTTTTTATTATCTTCTAGTAATCAATTTCCCCTTTCTTATCCATGTCGCCACACTATCCAATACCTCTTTAGCATTGAGTTTTCTCCTTTAGTTATTAATCAAATGGATTGTATTGACTGACACAGTAATACTGAACAATTATACTTCACTAAAATAAACTCTACCTGGTTCAAGCATAGTTTTTTTCCCCTCACATAGATGAATTCTATTCAGTAGTCTTTCGTTTCAATGTCTTCACTTGTTTTTAATAGAATTTTAATTGTAGTTTGCTTCTTAAAACATTCATCAGGTTTGGGTATTATGCTTACCTAGTCTCTATAAACTATGCTATGGGAGCTTTCTGTTTTTCCCCTATAATCACATGGTATTTTCTATATACCAGTAATTCAAACATTTCTAGTACAATACCTATAAAGGGCTCCTGAAAGAGTTTCTGCTGCTAGGGATATAGCTCAGTGGTAGAGCTCTTACCCCACATGTACAAGGTCCTGGGTTTGATTCCTGGCATAAATCTTAGTTCTGGTCCCCATGCTCCCCACTCCCGCCCCAAGAAAGGAAAGAAATGCAAAAAGTAAGCAAGAGTAGCTGCTCCCCACCTGATCTGTGTAGTTATGGATTAACCTACATCCTTCAAGTTCTGCCTCCTTACGGTGAAGAAACAGAGATTTGTAAAGAGAAGATACACACCAAATTAGATTTCTGTGGACAAGAATAAACCCCAGGCTGTTTACCTTGCTGGCTCAATACTGAGTGCCACCCCTCCTCCACCCCTCTCCTCAATGCCGCCCCATGATGCTAAGTCCTCCCTCTGGACAGAGTGAAGAGCTCAGTGAGCCTTGTCATGATGCTCAGTCCTCCCACTGGACAGAGTGAAGAGCTCAGTGAGCCACCTCATGATGCTCAGTCCTCCCACTGGACAGAGTGAAGAGCTCAATGAGCCACCTTATGATGCTCAGTCCTCCGACTGGACAGAGTGAAGAGCTCAGTGAGCCTTCTCATGATGCTCAGTCCCCCCATTGGACAGAGTGAAGAGCTCAGTGAGCCTTCTCATGATGCTCAGTGCCCCCACTGGACAGAGTGAAGAGCTCAGTGAGCCTTCTCATGATGCTCAGTCCCCCCATTGGACAGAGTGAAGAGCTCAGTGAGCCTTCCCATGATGCTCAGTCCTCCCACTGGACAGAGTGAAGAGCTCAGTGAGCCACCTCATGATGCTCAGTCCTCCCACTGGACAGAGTGAAGAGCTCAGTGAGCCTTGTCATGATGCTCAGTGCCCCCACTGGACAGAGTGAAGAGCTCAGTGAGCCTTCTCATGATGCTCAGTGCCCCCACTGGACAGAGTGAAGAGCTCAGTGAGCCTTCCCATGATGCTCAGTCCTCCCACTGGACAGAGTGAAGAGCTCAGTGAGCCTTCTCATGATGCTCAGTCCCCCCACTGGACAGAGTGAAGAGCTCAGTGAGCCTTCGCAGGGCCGAGTCCTCAAGGATATGCATGCTCCCTGGGCTGCTCGCCGTGGATGCTTGACTGTAAGAAAGCTGCCTGGAAAGCAGCCTTACCCAATATCTCTATGGAATTAGAAAAGGGGACAGTGCATTCCAGCTGTTATGATCTAGCTAGGTTACACAACTTCCCGGTCCTCAACAGACAGCTAGATATTAGAGCAATCCATTCTGATAAAAAGTAAATTTTTCATCATGAGGGGAAAAGAATCACAATGTCATCCAATCAGCCACCCTGACACCTGCACCAAACTCTACCCCATCCACCAAGCACTGACCATCTGCCTCCCAGGGAGGCTCCACCAGCCATGGGGAGGCTGAGGTGCCATAGGAGGGAACAAGGAACATTCCAGACCATCAGCTCCACTCTCCCACTGGTTGTGATGCAAAGGTCTGGATAGTCACAGGAACACAAGAACAACAGCTAGATAATAAGTTACAGCTGAACTGGGGAGGAGGGACAACATAAAAAAGGCCATCATTTCTCTCTTCACCCATTTAATACTAGCAGGTAAATAAATATGGAATGGCAAAGCAATATATCTGTCTCACAAACTCTAAGTAATGATCAACGCAAAAGGAAAACACAACCAGATTAGTCACCTGCCTTAACTAATTAGAAATGGAGCGATACAGAAGACTGCATTGCTGAGTCAGTCTAATATGATCATTCGATGGACTCAAATAATACACTTTGCAAGCATATAATTCATGAGTGGTCCAAAATCAGTCTCATTCCTTGTGCCTTAAACACATGACAATCTTAAAGTATTTAGGTTGTTCGTTATAAGCACTGGTCCGTCTGCTTTATCTCCCTACCCCCCCAAAGAAGAACATGACAAATGAGAAGCTGAGGCTGGCACCAGCCCCGTGTCCCTGGGGACTAATAGAATATTCACGAACCGCGCTTCTATTTACACTACCATCACTGAAGCTAATCCTTAGCTATTTTAGGGAAAAGGTTATGCTTTAATTAACAGCATTTTCCAAACAAAAGCTGTTTGCATTTCTTAAGTATTTTCAAATTTCAGAAATTTTATTTCACAGCAGGAGCTCCAGTTGATCCCATGCTTTTATGTGATAACACTTCTGATAAAGAAAGTAAGTCTTTGAAAGATGCCAAATAATTAGTTTCCAGCAACGGAAGTCAACAAGAACCATAATTAATGCTTAAGAACACTGTTTATGTCGAGAGCATCAATATATAGTGGAGGGACCAGAAGAGAAAGAAACACCTTTGCCCCTGAGTAAACACAAGCACTGAACGGGCACCTTGGCACCTGAGGTATAGCGCTTTCCTAGCTCCATGCTTTCATGTTCTCTGTCTTTCTGACACCACGGGACTGTTGCAAGGCTGAATGTAATCATATGCTTTGCAGGGGATAACAGTCCATAGTTTATGCTTGCTTCCTAATTTTTCAGTGGCTGGCTTCACCCAAGATCTTATCTCTTTCTCAGAAAAGTTGGAAGCAGCAAATGTAGGATCACTTGAAAAAAGATACAAAGACACTAAATACACATAGCCATTTCAGCTACTATTCCCTGCTTCGACTTGTACCATGTATGGAGAAACAGGAGCTGGCAGCAAAAACAATAATCATTGCAGTAAATTAACATTTGCTAATTACTCTGCGGCAGCTAGTCTTATAAAAAGTTCCATGCGTTAACTCATTCAATCCTTATAACAACGCTCCAAGGTGATAGAATAAATATAAGAATAACAACAAATAGAATAATAAAGGAAATTAAGGAACCCAACATTAACTCTCCTAGAGTCACAAAGCTGGCAGTTGAAATAAATCCAGGCAGTCTGTTTGTAGAACCTTCCTTCTTAATAACTCTACCAGACCACCATCATCATTTCTGTTCTCTGTCTGTACTGTGCACTTATCTGACAACCTGTACTATAATAGAGAAATAAACGTTTACAAATGTTCCTTAGAGAAAGGAGTAGTTACTGAAGCTGAAGGGAAATCCCTCGGCGCGGCTCCTCAGCTCGGTAGCCACTCTTAGTTTTAGCTATAACCTTCCTGGAGCCTACCGGTATACCTGACACCAATGCCCTTCCTTCCTTTTCCTTTACTGTTGACCATTAAGAACCCCATCTTTCTCCTGCCTTGAAGTTCATTCTGCTGGGAGAGCTTTCATGGAGGAAGCTACCTCCTTCTCATCAACTTCTTCAGAGAGGCATTCTTATCTGCCCAGGTATGGTGCGAGTGGCCACTAGGGACTGCACCAGCACCTCAATGTCCATACAAGAGTGGAATTCACCAAGTCGGAAGATAGAAGTATCTACAGCAAAAGGCCACTGGGATTATTCATGGCCTTGATGCAACGAGATCAATTATTACCTTCTCTGTTGACTTGGGTGCCAGTAACAATGACAGTAAAAATTGAGGAGATTTCTGACCTGATAGTATTCGAAACAATAAGTTGTTAAGAGTACAGCACTTTATCCATCGTGGGCTTTTGTGGTTTTTTTTTTTTTGAATAATTACAATATCTTGAAAGCTTTGAATATCTTCCACCCGCTTTCTGCCGCAGTATCGCCCATTCAGATCCACACAACAGTAGTAACTACAGCCACAAACAAGCCACGAGGTCATAAGCCTCTCTAAGAGAGAGGGATCTACCCTGAAGGTTTTTCCTTCAGCCGGCTCCCATCCTGGCCATCAGCCAGATGAATACAAACAACACCCGAAACACTAGAAATGGAGTACAAGTATAAACACAGACCCTGTACCCCTTGAAAAACAAATGTCAGTGGCTTCCAAAGCCCACTCACAGAAAAGCACAAGTCCTTCATTTTCCCAAAGAAAGAAAGAAGCGGAGGCACTTACAGTGTCGTGGGACTTGTCCTTCACATCATACACGGCTAGTTTTATTGTGGTCTCTTCGTAGATGGGGTACTCGGGTGGGAACGTGACACCAGTCAGAAACAGTGGGTCTCTTGTTCCCTGAAATAGCACACGCAGACAACTTGGATTCAATAAGGCAGCAACTGCAGGCAACAGCATGCAATGACACACAAGTGTGCGGACTGTGACCCGCTCTTCTAGGACACGGTTCCATTCGAAGGGAGCTCTAGGCAGCCAGCGGTAGCACGTGGTGCCGGAGGAGGGTGCCACCGAGCTGTACGCTCGGTGGATTTCTGTATTGTCAGAGCCGTGCATGACAAGTCTTGAACACATGAGTGTTACTTTACCCCTAACCTTTCTTCAGGCCCAATGTCAGTCCATTGCAGTGTACTTAACCGTTTTATTGTTATATAGTTATCTATAAATTGCGCAGGTAGGCTAAGTTAAATGTAAGCTATTCTCTCAGAGTTACTTGGTAATTCTGCTACCTAACCTAGCTTTGACAGCATTTATTTGTGTTTTGAGGTGCAGTTGTGACTTTTTTTCCCCTCCAGACTGACTTGAACACTAATAAAAGGAAACTGAATATGGTATATTAGGAGCGGTGGCTCAGGATGTGGCACACAGAATATTTCAATTCCTTAGAAGGCCTTTTTAAGAGCTGACATCCAACCTTCAGTTTTATGCACACACACACACACACACACACACACACACACACACACACACATGCACACACACAATTGTCCATGGAAGTTTCTAAAAGCCCATGTTATTCTCTCACTCATTTGTTTATTCATCCATTTTTTTTTTTACTTCAAAAGCAAAATACAGTTTTCCTTGGCTCTTTCAGGATCCACAACGAATAAAACTGCCAAAATATAGCCACACATATTCCAATATAAAATTTTGAAATGATCTACTAGAAATTATTTTTATGAAAAAGAATAATTGTTTGATATGTGCAAGTGGCATAATAAGAATTTAGAAGAAGAAGAAAAACACATCAATACGTAATTAAGTTTTAAAATTTGGTGAAATTTTAAAAATAATCAGCCAGGTGCATGTGGCTCATGCCTGAAATCCTAGCTACTCAGATCAGGCAAGAAAGTCCACAAGACTCTTATCTCCAATGAACAACTGAAAAAGCCAGAAGTGGAGCGGTGACTCAAGTGGCAGAGCACTAGCCTTGAGTACAAATGCTTCAGGACAATACTCAGGCAGGCCCTGAGTTCAAGCCCCAGGACCTGCACCAAAACAAAACAGAACAGTACTTGAAAATACTCTTCAGAACAATTTTATGATTTTAGTCCAGTGAGCAAGTGAAGTTATTTTGGCTAAGTCAGCAATGGCATGAATGGTGCATGATACCAGCCTGAACTCAAAGTTTCCAAAGAGCAGAATTAGAGATCCAGGCAGGATCTAGGTCAGTCCCATAATAGAAGTAACTCAGGATCAGTCTGAATCACTTCTTCCACCAACTGCACCAAAGCAGGCCTCGTTGGCCCGGCCAGCCAGGTCTGGGGCTGGGTGCCACAGACCACACCTCACACCACACAGACACGGCTGACAAATCTAAGCAAAGCAAACAAACCTGAGGGAGAGACTTAGTCAGCTTTCTCCAGCCCTAGAACAGCAGGCAAGTCTTTCTCCTCCACTCGCGTCTTGAAATGTGTGATCCGAGCAAAATAATCAGAACGGAAACACTTCCTCTTTTACACTGGATCCAACACAATAACCAGTTTCCTCCTGACACATCTGAACGATCTATCACTACTCATTAACGTAAATAGGAAATAGCTTATCGGACGAGTCTTTACACCTTTTGCCTGGAAACATCACCGATTCTCAAGTTCATCAACCAACCTTTCTTGGAAAAACAGCATCCTCTGAAAGACAAAGACACACACACACACACACACACACACACACACACTCACAGACATGCACATGCACCTGCCCACACACAGCAGGGAGCAGTGGCTTCTACAAATCAGACGGAAGAACACAGGACCAAATGAAAAGAGCAAAACCACATGGAGCACTCCGACAGGTCCTCTGAGAGTATGTTCTCTCCCGTTCATTTAAAATCTATTGCTTTTCTGTGCTGCGATCTGGTTTGGGAATTCCATGTGAAAAGTTTTGTGTGAAAGAAGCATAAAAGTCTTCCAAGAAAAACGGGTGATTTCTTTCTCCTTGGGTTTATTCTGGTGATGGAACAATTCATGAACCCTTGATAACCACAGGTATGCATTGCTTCCTTAGTGACAGGAAAATAACAGCTCTAGACCACAGAGTAACTTATGCTCATGCTCAGAGAAACAGAGAGGGGGGCGGGGGCGGGGAGGAAGGGAGAGGGCGCAAACAGCAAGCTCACCTCCACAGTCTCGGTGCTGGAATACCTTGAGACACTCTGCTGGGCGGGCTGGATTACTGAGACCTGCACCAGGGTGTTCAGCTTCCGATCACGGCCAGGAGCCACGAGATCCTTGCATGCTGGCAATGGCAGAGGAGAAAGAAAGAAAGAAAAGAAACTGACACCATCGCTCAGGGAAACACGCCTGTCAGTCTGTCTCTGTCCGGATTGGAGAGTAAACTTGGCGGGGCTCGCTGGGACTCAGGCAGCTCTGCAGAGGAAGTCCCTTGGAAGTACCTTACAGAAATAGGAAGTCACGTGCCCCCGCCGTGCTGAATTCGGACTTCATTTCCACTGACTACATTTGCAGCTCCTGCAAGTTGTTGGCTGTGTGAGAACGCCCATATCCACTGCCCCAGGGACTTCAGGGGCTTTAATTAGTCCTGAAGCCCGTGGGCTTTAATTCACACTCCTGGCTGGGGGAAACTGATTGACTGGGCTATATCCAGGAAACCAGCAATGCACATACTAGCACTGGCTGGGTTAGTTCGCACGTGTGAGTGAGCACACACTTCTCCTCACCAGCTCCGGCCTCTGCTGCCATCCACAAGCACAGAAACAGGAACAGTAGTTACCAGGACAGAGCTCAGCGGGGAGGAAGGGTTAAAAAGGCCCTTTGTCTGGAATTCTAGCCGAGCCTGAGAAAGCACCCTGGGATAAGCATGGGGTAATTCTTGCCCAGGGGCCACAAATCTTAAGAACTTTCTCTTGGGACAAGGCTCAAGTTACAGACACCAGCCACCATACCATATTTCCTTGAGTATTTTCTCCTCTCACATATCCTCCTCCCACTTTGGAGAAGAAAAAGCCAACAACAACTACAAATCGGCTTTCTTCTCAGCAATCCAATATCTGCCCTCTTCCTTCCATCTCCCCGCTGGTTTTGAAATAGGAATTTCGCTCTGTGAAGCTGAGTTGTTAGGAGGTGATGGAAAGGGGCTCAAGTTTGGCTCCACTTGGACTGCCAAGGACTAGAGCTCCTGCTAGGGGTTCTGAGAAGCAGCAGCCCAGGGGCCTAACAAGAGTGCCTGGGTCTCTCTCTCCCTCAGCATCCCCCACCCTTCCCTCTGATCACAGCCAGCTTACAAGGAGCTTAAGCTCTGCCCTGAGTCTGTGGCCCTCAGCTGCTAGGACAGAGGTAATATATAGGCTTATATCTTAAAAGCAAAGGAAATTATACAGATAATTATCACCTTTCCATTTCTTACAGATCATCTCAGGAGATAGAGAACACAAGTGGTTGGCAATCAAACAAGCCAGGGCTTTGTTCAATTCTAATAGTCATAACTGGCAAAAAAAAAAAAAAATTGCATTTCTTTTTGCCAGACTTTGGGATCCTCTTTCTTCTCTCGAGATGGCATTTTGATTTACATTTGTCTTATTCAATCCACATGACTCAAGCAATACAGGAGAGCTTAACAAAGGACATGTGCAGGGGGCGGGGGGAATGTAGCCACAGTTAATTTAACCCTCATTATTCTTGAGGCATTCTGTTTCCCATCTCTTGATTCCTCACAATCATACTTTGAATGATTACTTTAGCTTGGCATATTAAAAAAAAAACAAAACTAGAAACTTTGCAGGACACTAGTGGCTCATGCCCATAATCCTAACTACTCAGGAGGCTGAGATCTGAGGAACACAGTTTGAGGCCAGCACAGGCAGGAAAATGAGGAAAATCTTACCTCCAACTAAGCACACACACACACACACACACACACACACACACGCGCCAGAAGTGGACCTGTGGCTCAAGTGGTAGAGCCCTAGCCTTGAGCATAAACAGTCAGAGAGAAGGTTCAGGGCCAGAGTTAAAGCCCCAGGACCTAGGAGGGCGGAAAAAAAACAACTAGAAGCTTAGAAACATGATATGCTATATTTACATGACTAGATCCCTTCGGAAGCTTTCTTACATCAGTACCTTGAGCTCCATTTCTTCCTTGGCTTGCTGACCCACCATGTTTAGAAACTATTGCCGGGTGCCAGTGGCTCACACCTGTAATCCTAGCGACTCAGGAGGCTGAGATCTGAGGATCACAGCTTAAAGCCAGCCCAGGCAGGAAACTCTGTGAGATTTGTATCTCCAATAAACCACTAGAAAACCAGAAGTGGTGCTGTGGCTCAAGCAGTAGAGCGCTTGCCTTGAGCTGAAGAGTGCAGGGACAGTGCCCAGGCCCAGAGTTCAAGCCCCACGACCGACCAAAAAAAAAAAAAAAAAAAGAAAAGAAAGAAAAAGAAACCACTGCCACTGCCCTTTGTTGCTCAACCAAGAGCGTTACACTTTTAAAAACTACTGATGCGAGGTTTCAATAACATCAACCTATCACAGAAAGGAAAGGAAAGCTCCGCTTTAGATGTCACTGTTCTCTGGTAGCTATTTTGATCGTTTCCTTTTGTTGCCCTTTGAATGTGTTGAATTGTGGCACTCCTTGGGTTTCTGCGCTCCGTGAACACTTACTGATGATGGCCTGTGTTGGTTTTAGGATTCCCAAGGGTGGGCCATATTTTTCCACTTTCTGATGATAGCTTTGTACTCTGTGAACTCCTGACACCCAACCGGCTCAGAATAACTCACTTCTCTGAGTTCTTATGGTGCTGGATTGTGGTCTGTGGTTAGTTCCCAGAAGTGAGCAGCTATGTCTCCATTTCATCAGAGAAAACCTGAGTGTCGCCGCCTTACACCGCTTAAGAACAGAGAGAATCTCTACTAGGCTGGCATGTTTTGAAGAGGGATTCAGATACCCCAATACGAATCATAGTAATTTGCATTTCATTATATTCCAGGCCTACAAGTAGTCATATAAAAACCTCAGCAATAATTAGCCAGGCACCAGTAGCTCCTGTCTGTGATCCCAGATACTCAGGAGGCTGAGATCTGAGGATCACAGTTCAAAGCCAGCCGGGGCAGGAAACTCCATGAGACTCTTATCACCAATTAACCAAAAGAAAAAAAAAATGCTCCAAATGGAGAAGTGGAGGTGTGGAGCACGTTGTAAAGTGCCTGGCTTTGAGTGAAAAAGCCAAGGGAGAGCATGAGGCCCTGAGTTCAACTCTGACTACAGGCACAAACAGAAACTGAAAACAATAATAATCACTCTATTGGGCACTGCAGTCTTCTCTTTTCTTCCTGACAGCCAACAAAATTCACTCTTCCTTCTGACTAAAGCACCAAGATTTCATAGGAGAGAAGTGTAGCTCACAGAATTTCTGAGACACGGGCCTAGGTTCTCCATAACAACTTTACACTCGACACGTTTCCTGTCTCAACAGGGTGGGCATATGGAAGCAATCTGGCTTTTTATGAATCAAGTTTTCTATGCAGAAATAGGTTTGCCAGCAACAGTTTCAGTATGTATAATTCCCTCATGCTTTCAGGATCCCAGTTTGAAGCCAGCCCAGCCAAACAAATCCAAGAGACTCTTATCTCCAATTAACCAGCAAGAAGACAGAAGAGCTGTGGCTCAAGTGGTAGAGCACCCCTCCTGAGTGTAAAAGTAGTGCACAAGGACCTGAGATCAACTTCAGTACTGGTACCAGAAATCAAATTTAAAATAAAATCTCCATCTTTCTCAAAATACTGTTGATGTGAGTTTTTCAATGAAATATCAGCTTGTGTTTCACACAGCCAGCCTTTCTAAATCATGTCAAGTCTACCAGCTTCTTAGATCCTTTCTATCATTCCAGCTAAGCTTGGATACTATCAGTGAGCTCAGTAGCAGCAACAATTGATTTGAATTAGAATGCTACTACCAGGTCAGGTGGCTTTGAATCATCACTTAATTAGAAGGGTTGTGAAGCGTCTGCATGAACGTGCAGGGCCCAGCCTTGTGGGAAAACCTGAGGCCTCCGGCAGCCTGGGTCACGCTAACTGCAAGCAACTGCCCTTCACTGTAAGAACGGTTTGTCTGTTTTTCTACAAAGTTTGGTCATTTTTCTTCCCTTACCTACACTGATCTCTCTTCCTGGCCTTTCATGTAAGTGACAACTAACAAAACTGTTGTCTTTTCCCCACAACGAACCACCTGGGTAAGAAAGGAATGAAAACCTTTGAGAAGAAGTTTTTCATCTTTACAATTCTTTACTGAGACGAACCAAAGGACATTCAGGCCTAGAGAAGACAGCACACGGCATAGCACGTGAAGCATAAAAAAATTGCTATGCTTTGTCTGCCGGTGTTTTAGTTATAATAAGAGTTGCACGTGAGGCAAGCGCTTTACTACCCTAGCTTGAGTCTATTATTCAGACAGGATGCTGAGATTTGGCCCAGACTGGCCTCAGATTGTGATACTCCTCCCTCAGACTCTAGAGTTGCCAGAAGAACAGGGAGATGTCATTACATAGGGGCTCAACCTTTAGTTAAGATAAATCATATTTGATTCTGGGGTCCGGCCTAAGGAGCTACACGGCCTTTCCTCCATTATTCCATGTGACTTTGAGTCTCTGGAATTAAGTGAACAGACTCTATTAAAAAAAAAAGAAGATATGAGAATATAAGAAAGTGATATAAGAACACTAGGCATCTAAGAAGTCTTTGAATGTGTTATTGTTGTTGTTATAGATCTTAATATGAATAGTTACATATTAACATAAAATTGATTTATTATTACACATGTTTATAATAATCATATGCTCAAGATAATCTAGGTTGACCCTGGTTTTAGGTAAGGTTATTATTTTTTAATAAAAGCATTTATTCATCAAAATTATATTGAATCTCCTCCAAAACTGAGAAAATTGAGGGCAGGGGTGGGTTGAGAGGAATGGAGAGAACGTTGAAAGGCGTGGCACTGATTAAGATGCACTGTGTTCATAAGCTGCTTTGATGACCAGCAACCCCTTTGTACACTACTGAAGATAACAACAGTAGTATAAAAAGAATTTATTAAACATATTTATGGATTTTTGTATCTTGTTTCTATATCGTGAAATAAGTGTTTTTAAACCATTTATTGGATCATGTGTTTATTTCAAAACACAGTTATCATTCGTGTATTTCATCTGTGAAGCCAGATGGGTATTTTATATTCTCACCTATGATCAGGAAACTTCCAAATAAAAAACAATGGCAAAAATTGCAGAA